TTCCTGCTGAACATAAAAACTGAAGAGGACCAATGAGAGGCACTTTTAAAATCATGAAGTAAGGACCACTAAAGGTTTGGACAGGAATTTATTTGAAGTGTTAAGAATTTCTGGGAAATTTGCTGTGCCACAAAAGCATAGTATGAAATGTGCATACAAATGTGGCAGTTATCTGAAGCACCAGAGAATGGCTGCCACAGCACCCTGCAGCCAGGGAGTCCAGTGTGCAGTTATCCCAGCATGCCTCACAGGGGTCCCCATCTTTGTATGTTCCCTAATACAGCAGAGTGCAAAGAAAAGCACCAACTGGCTGGCTGGTGGGCAACAACACCAACCCAGTGACACTCCTCTCTCCCCTTCTGTCTTCCCTGAGCTGAGAGTGCAGAGACACTGTACTTAACTGCTGACTTCTCAATTTTACTTTCAGACCCCAGTAGATATTTGCCACCCACACACCCTGTGGCTCCCAATCCACCTGTGCCAGTAGGTCCAGTGCAGGCCATACCCCTGCCAACACAGAGTCAAGATCTGCCAGCACTTCTTCATAGAGCTTGTTCAGTTCCTGTGTACACTCCTGTGCAACACCATGTATCTGCATGGCTGTACAACTGAGGCCCTGGCTTACCAATTATTTTGGCATAGGCAAATCCCCAGTGGGATAGAAAATGTGTAAGGTACCCTTGGCTATCCATGGGGTGCTAACACTATGATCCCTCCAGTTTATCAACAGGTAGGAGGTCTGCAGCAGGTGAGGGCATTGCCAAACTTGCAGAGGCTTCTCTGGCCAAGTGCACCAGGCTTGTGTGCAACAGCAATCCCTCAGGCTCACAGCACTTGGGGCACCAAACCCATCCCTGGGCCTCCCAGCCCTTAAACAACACTGCCATACAGAGTTCTGATGGTCCCTCCACTTCAGCAGGGAGAGTTGAAGAGTCTCCCCTTTGCCACAGTCATGGCTTCTGCCAATTACAGCAGGCAATCACAGCACAAACACACTTGCACCTTCCGGCCGTTTGCTGGTACCACCCAACACGGCTCTAACATTCCTTCTTCCTCCGTGAGATGGGCTGCCATGTCTCCCCTTAGCCCCAGCCATGGTTTTCATATTTACTGCATCTGATCATCCTACAAAGTACATGCAGACCTCCCAGCCACATTCCTCATGGCAGAGCGCCATAGGGCTCTGATGCGCTCTCTGCTTCAAAGAGATACTGAAGAGTCCCCACTTCAACCTGGCCATAGCATTTACCAACTGTAAAAGCCAAAAGCCATCTTTGAAGTAGCCAAATAGGAGCTCAAATACTTGGCTTGATGATAACAGAGATGCTGAAGTAACAGGAATAGATATTCTTTGCATGGCCAGTTTTGGGAGGTCAACTACTGCCCTAAATGTTGAGCAAAAAAGATGTTATCCTATTCACAAAGGAAAAAAAAGGCAGCAAATCCATGCAGCAACCTGTGAGCCTAGCTCTGCCTCCCTGAAGCAGTTGAGCTTGGCATGACAGACTCACTCCCTGGAACCGTGGAGGCAAAAGGGGAGGGGGCAAAAATATACCCATCCTACCAAATTCTTTGTTAATTTTTTTACATCCCCTTAGCCCTTGGTTCAACATGTGGTATTAGTATCATAATTATCTTGGTTTTAGTTCTTCTCCAGTGTCATTCACAGATTATCTTTGGCTCCAATCCCAAAATAATTGTGTATGTTTTTGTAAGTGTACTGCTCTACGCTTACCAAAGTTTACTGAAGGGCAGCCTGAGGACTAGAGAGCCTGTATTATGAAAGGAAACAACAAGACCTTGGGTTGTTTAACGTAGCCAAATAAAGGCTGTAAGCTGATATGGTTGCTCTCTATAAATCCACTCAGAAATAAACATCAGGGAGAGAAAAGAACTACTGAAGTTAAATGACAGTTTTGGCACATAAATGTCCATAAAGTGGCCGTAAAATAAATTTAGGCTAGAACTTAGAAAAAAGTGAGTGAGGTTCTGAAACACACTTCTCATATGAGTAGATGGAGAAATTAACTAGTTTTAAGATGCAGCTTCATCTGTTTATGTAGTTAATTATCTGACATGATTGTCTACAAAAGAAGGGGACTAGATTTGCTCATCCAGAAGGTGCCTGCCAGTCCTAATGTCAGAGGCTATTATTATTGGGTGCAGGACTCTGCTCACACAGTCATCTACAGTATTTAGACTTATGTGTGTATGCACACAAGCTAATCACACTGTCAGTATGTTTAACAATATTAAAATATATTTGGTGTTTTGGGAGGTAGTGGTTGTGGGAAAGTATATTTTGTTGTACTTTCTTATTTCGCTATTTTATTGTTTCTGTATTTTTGTCATTTACTATGGACCACCCTAATCCTTTTTTGAGAATGGTGGCATAGACATCTAATAAATAAATAAATAAATAAATAAATAAATAAAACAACAAAACAAGAGCAGCAATAATCTGGTTAAAATAAATATAACTTTAAAAATATTCATGAAAATATTACCAGAATATATTTTCTTGGGTTCTGTGTGTGCTCTGTCAGTCTTTTGTTGCTCATCTGAATCAGTAAACAACATTTCAGGTATCTAAAATAGAAACAGCTTTTTTTGGTAAAAAATGCAGTAAGCCATAAGCGAAGACAAAAACAAACAAGTGAATAATAACACTTATTAATGTAAACAGGTTTTAAAAACCTAAATTCCCTTCAAAAGGCAAATATCCTTCAGAAACACCTTTAAAAATATATAAGACAAAACTGTGAATTGTTAAATTTGATAATATCCGGTCCGCTCAACAGAGCAGTCTGTTACTTATAAAAAAAAAAAACCACTGGAGACTTTTACATCTAGATAAATACCAAGGAAGTAATAAATTACAGCAGGACTAAGCAGGCTGAAGTGACCTAGCTTGGGCCTATGTTGGGCCCGCCTAAATCGACTATCCTGCTGACATACTAAGCTACTATGGGTGCATCTACACATGCATTTATGCACAACTAAATTTAATGCACATTAAACTAATGTTCATTAAGTGATTTTTGGCAGGTGTCTACACTTGCAGAGATTTGGGATTGAAGTTATTCCCAAATCCCTGTATTTGGCAGTAAAGTTAGTCCCAAGTCCCTGCAGTCCTGACAGGGCTCCAGCCTCCAGCCACGTGGTTGCCAGCACTTCTGGCAACCATCTGGAAAACTCTGATCCTTGGCCAGCCTCTTCCCAGCCCAGAAGCCACATGCCCAGGGCAGAGGCAGCACCTGGAAGCTCCCTCTTTGCCCACCCTGCTTCCATGCACCAGGGCTGTTCCAGCCACAGCCCTGCCAGCGATGCCTATCACCCCACTTCTCCAGCCTAGCCCCTGCCAATGATGACCAGTGCCCCATGTTCCTGCTGGCCATGGTGCTCGTCCTGCTGGCCCTAGCAGGCTCCTCCCCCACCCTGCTCCCCCCAGGCCCCAGGACAGCTGTGCACCGACCAGTGGCATCCAGGGCACTGGCTGTAGGAGGCCCTGCCCAACCCCTTCCTCCTGCACTCCCCACTCCAGCCTGTCTGCTCCACCACCCACACATCCCCTACCCCCTGCCCAACTCCATTATCACAACATGCAAGTGGGTAAAATAAAATAAAAACTTTATTACCTTCATAACACCCACCCCATCCCTGCCCCCTCAACCAACAGAGACCCTTCACCACCCTCCCAACCCATCAATAATAAAAAACCCGCTTACAAGTGGGAAACTATACACAAGGGGAAAACTATATACAAAGGGAAAACTATTTAAAATATTTTAGGTCTTCAAGCCCAGAATAGAAGTGGGTGTGGGGGGGGGGGGTGGAGACTAGAGGGCAGGGCCCCAGAGCAGGTGCCCAAGCACCCTAAACCCTGGATGTTCCCTGGGGCTGGGCTCAGGCCAGACCCCTAGTGAAAGGGCAGACCCACCACTAAAGTTAGTGCTGGGTCACGTCTACACATTAATGCACATTAACTAATCACACATAAATTCGATACCTACAAATGTACTCAGCCCCTCTCTCTAGGCAAAGGCAAGTATCAAATTTAGGCACAAATTGCCTAAGTTAATGCTTATTAAGGGTGCGCACATGTAGACACACACTCGTAATGCGCATTAACTTAGGCTCATGAGTGACTGGTGCTTCCTGAATCTGGGGGGGCACCTGCAGAAGCTGCTGATGGCAGTGGCCCCACCGGGGGGGCAGCAGCCCTACTGACAGCATCAGTGTTGGCTGTTAGAGGGGGCATCAGCCCCGTCGGGGTGGGGCATGTGCACATTAACCTGTTTCATGTAGACACACCCTATGAGAACCTGAATGCTTAAGGCACCTGTCACTTTAAGAGGCCAAACAGCCAGTGTAGCAGCCTGCAGATGGATCCAGAGCTGATTATGTGGTCATCTGACCCAGGGAGCCTGCAGGTGGTGGCTAGGGCTGATTGGAGGGAGTCATCTGAATGGAGGCGGCCTGGGCTTAGGCAGGATATAAGCCTAGACCCTGAGAGCAGGCAGCAGTTAAGATCCTGGCAGCTGGTGAGGAAACATAATCCAGCAGGAAGGCTGCAGCTCCTGAATGCTAGCAAGGAAAGAACAGCAAGAAGCAGTTTGAAGGTCTGGAAAGGAAGTATGGGGGTGGAGGAGGTTCCTGGGGAGCCAGTGTGGGGTCCCGAGCCCTGAGAGAGAGGCTGAGTGTCTGAGGGCCGGCTGAAGAGTCTGAGTGAACCCAGAGAGAGGGGACAAGTGCATGGGGGCCTATAAAGGGGCCCAGAAAGAGGGACTGTGAGACCCACAGAGGTGTCCAGGTGAGGCCAGAGAGAGAGAGAGAGAGGCTGTGTGTGAGAGACCAATGGAGGCCCAAGACAGTGGATCCACAGATGATAGAGGGCTGACAGCCAGAGGACTGACCTTCAGAACCTCAACTGCCCGTGCAGGGCCAGGGCCCAAGAGGGGTCAGAAGGTTGAAAGAGACTACTCTGGCAGACTGCTAGAGCCACAGGAGCCTGGAGATCTTGACTCCTGAGGTGGGGCCAGGACCTACAATAGGCCAACAGTCCATGTGTGGCAACAGCCTGAGAGGAAGTGATCAAGGGGCAGCCGTCTAGGATGAAGATGGCTGATACAGGGCCATCAGAGGAGGAGAGGTCAAGAAAAGGGGTCCAAGAGTGAGCAGGGGCCAGAGGGACCCAGAACTGGGATTGAGCCAGGGCCAGGAGGCCTGCAGCCCAAGAGGGGTGTATGACATCAGGAGGGACCAGGAGTTAGATCAGGGTGGCCTATAGATTGATCCTGGGTAAAACCTGAAACTGCACCCTACTGGGGCTGGTTAGCATGGTGCGGTCACCACCATGAAATGCCATGTGGGCCACCCCAAAGAAAGGTGAGGATGGAGTGCCCAAAAGCCTCAGTTCTCACTGTCTTGGGGGTTACCCTGTGGAGAGGAAGCCTAAGGGACCATACTCTAAAAGAAGAGGAAGCAGGAGAGAGTGGGACCAGAAAGGTCCAGAGGCCAGAGTAGCTGGGGGAAAGTGAAAACAGGGATCTGAGGACCCAGAGGAGAGACCAGTGACAGACCAAAGGGGCCTGGCAACCCAAAGAAGGGTGGACAGAGGGATCTGGCAGCCCAGAGTGGGGCTGAGTGTGATGGAGGGATCTGGCAGCCCAGAGAAGGAGTTGTGTGGGTGACTGAGAAGTCTGGCAGCCAAGGGAGGGGCTGACTGAGAGACCAAGGAGTCTGAGGCCCAGAGAAGGGGGATGAGTGAGAGACCAGTAGTCTGAATGCCCAGAGAGGGGCTGTGTGTGTAAACAGAGGGCATAGATGAAGATGACATCTTCAAGGCTTGGGGTGTGGTGTACGGACAGAATAGAGCCACGCAATTACCCCATAAGGCTTGGACCACAGACAACTGGTGGTCATTAATTAAGACCAGGGCAGCCTCCTGCATTTTAATGACAATTAACACACAGGCACATTAGGAAAAAGGACAGACTGCCCATAGAGCAGGGTAAGAGTAAAACATTTTGGTCTTCATGGGGCTTTACAGCCACCCCTGGAGATGGTACCCTGTGATGCTGAGCCAGTTCCTGTAAAGCTAACTCAGACATTTCTATGCCAGTGATTCTCAACCACGGTGAAAACATGATTCTTCAAATAAATCCAGAGATTCTAAATAAGAGTCCGTAGAGTTAAAAACATTCTGGGACCATGCAGGTCTTACTTTTGTGGTCTTTCTAAGTATTTTGCAACAGAAAAACTGCTATATTATTTTTCCATAGTCAGAAAATGAATGAAAACTAAGAGTTTGCATTTTCCAAGGGATGCACTGTGTCTAAAGAGGGCTTGACTCTAGAAAGGTGTAGAACCAGTGGTTCTCAACAAGTTCGAAGTTTATTTTTAATTAGTGGGCAATGCTATACTTGGTCAGAGCCAACACGCTCAGCAATTTGCACTCAGACCATAGTGAGATAAAATGTTACTGTTGATGAAGTAGCATTGATAATATTTAGCTTTTCTATAGCCCTTTCCAGTGTAAAGCACTGTATGAAACATTAAGTAATGTATTAAGAGATAATGGATGAGACTTGGATATTTCAGGTAAAACCTACTTTTCTTTTTCTTTGAATTATGACATTTTAACCTGAAGAGATGACAGTGCTATTTTAAAGTAATGTGACACTTCTAAATTACCAGTAATGCAGAAATACTCCATGCTAGCTCTTTGCGTGTTAGTTCCGTACAACCAATACCTACATGTTTCTGCAGCACTGCATACAGGATACCAGGTCATGCTTCTCAACAGAGTTAATAAGTCCAATACAGTATTGTATGAACATGCTATATTGCTTCTGATTTTTGGAACTAGCAAACAGGGCTAATGAGTATCTATACATGGAACTGATTTTGCCATATGGACATCTCCTATTTAAATATTACACAAGAGACATGAATGGGATTGAAAAATGTGATTATTTTTAAAAGTCTGAACATTTGGTGAAGCGAAGTTTACAACATCATGAGAGTCTAGTCTGATAAAGAGCAGAAAATAAACAATCTAATAGAACAAGAAGACCAACAGGAAAATGGCAGTCATAAAATAAACTAGCAGATTAATGCTCCCTTTTGCATTGTTTCCTCTACTTACTTTCTTCATACTGCTTTCGGACCAGCTTTCCATCCATAGCACCTGACATTTCTTATGTAGAGCTGGATTACTTTCACAGTTTATTGTGAAGTTTAAATTAGAGGAATCCATAATTAAGACAACATGCAGGTTTTGTTGGATCCCTAATGAAAATATAACATATTAAGGTAGTAAGAATTCAATCAGTTTACTATCTGATACCTTCATTGCAAATAAACTACAGAATGTTTTCCAAAAAAATGTGCCATAGAACAATTTCT